TAGTGCGCAGGGCTCCCTCAAAAAACTCTACACCCTAAACCCGAAACCCGAAGCCCTAAAAGAAAACCCTAACCCCTGACCCCTAACCCCTAACCCCTAAACCCTAAACCCTAAACCCTAAAACCCTAACCCCTAACCCCTAAACCCTCAACCCTAAAACCCTAAACCCCTAAAACCCTAAACCCTAAACCCCTAAAACCCTAAACCCTAAAACCCTAAACCCGAAACCCTCAAACCCTGAACGCCCCGGCCGGGGCGCCTGAGAGCCGGCAGCCGAGCGCACCGCTTCGGAGGCAGCCCGAGCCTGGGCCTCCAGCGACGGATTTTTGTTTAGGGCTTGTGGGGCTTAGTTTAGGGTTTAGGGTTTAGGGTTTAGGGTTTTTTAGGGTTCTATAGGGTTTAGGGCTTTTAGGGTTCTATGCCTTTGGGGTTTTTAGGGCTTAGGGCCTTTAGGGCGTTTAGGGTTCTATAGGGCCTTTAGGGTTTTTGGGGTTTTTTAGGGTTTAGGGTTTCGGGTTTTGGGCCTTTAGGGCTTTTAGGGTTCTATAGGGTTTAGGGCTTTGGGGGCTTTAGGGTTCTATAGGGCCTTTAGGGTTTTTGGGGCTTTAGGGTTCTATAGGTCTATAGGGCCTTTAGGGTTTTTGGAGGTTTTTAAAACTTAAGGTTTAGGGTTTTTTAGGGTTTAGGGTTTTGGAGGGTTTCGGGTTTTTGGGGCTGACGGTTTAGGGTTTAGGGCCTTTAGGGCTTTTAGGGTTCTAGGTTTAGGGTTTTGGGTTTTGGGGGTTTAGGGCTTTTGGGGGTTTAGGGCCTTTAGGGCTTTTAGGGTTCTATAGGGCCTTTAGGGCTTTTGGGGTTTTTAGGGGTTAGGGCCTTTAGGGCTTTTAGGGTTCTATAGGGCCTTTAGGGTTTTTGGGGTTTTTTAGGGTTTAGGGTTTCGGGTTTTGGGTTTTTGGGGTTTAGGGTTTTGGGGGTTTTACGGTTTTTGGGGGTTTAGGGTTTTGGGGGTTTAAGGTTTAGGGTTTTTGGAGTTTAAGGTTTAGGGTTTAGGCTTTTTGGGGCTTAGGGTTTTTGGGGCTTAAGGTTGAGGGTTGTTGGGGCTCAGGGCCTTTAGAGTTTAAGGTTTAGGGCTGTTGGGGTTTAGGCTTTTTGGGGTTTAGGCTTTTGGGGGCCTTCTGAATATAGGGGCCTTAATAATTAGGATAGGGTTTTGGGGGTTCCTTATTGCATAGTCTAATATACCCCCCAAAACCCTCTTCTAATTATTCAGGCCTTCTTAGATTAGAGGCCTTTTGCATTTTAGGGTTGTGTTTAACCCTAAACCCTAAACCCTAAACCCTAAAGGGTTTAGATGGGTTTAAGGTTTAGGGATGTTTCGGGGCCTTTGGGTTTTGTGTGGAGAGTTTTGGGCCCCTTGCTGCCTTTTGGGCCGTTGAGGGGCTCGTTTAGGCTTTCCGGAGTGTGAGGCCTTTCGGGCTCGTTGCCTGTCGAGGTGAAGGCTTCAGGGTTGTGGTAGAAGCACGTGCCTAGAGAGGGGAAAAGTTGAAGAGCGGCATCACTGGGGTCGATTAAGAAATGTGCATTGTACCGATACTGTTGCTAGAATCCCTTATATAGGTGAGCCGTGAGCCATCAAACTCGGAAGCCTCTAGGCCTAACTCCAAACCCTGAACCACACAAAGCCCTCAAGCCCACAACCCTATCAGAAACCTCAAAACACCCTAAACCGAACCCTTGCGGGCTCTAGGCTATAGGTAACTATGCAGGTATGTAGTGGCATAGCACGGGGCAAGTGACAAACTCACATAAGCCCTATGTAAAACACCCTCCAAAAAGCCTAGAGCCCTGTGCGGCTCAACAGGGCTGATTGGGGCCGTTCAGGGCCTGGGGGCCTTGGGGGCGTAAGGCCCCCAAACCCTGCAGGGGCGCCTTGGCGGCGGCAGCCGCTTCTGTGGCCTGCTTGGCAGCGACCTTCATTGCCTCCTGGCCATTTTCGAAGGGGACTCGGTGGGCGAGAAGGGTGTAGGATTACTTGCAAGACAGGTGGGGGACGCGGAGGTTTGGGCGTCGGCGCCTCACCAGCGGGCATCTTGTCCCAGATCAACTTAAGGTCTCGATGAGGATGCCCCCTTTTTCCGGAACTCTCATGCCACAGTTGATCTCATGACACTTGTAGAGGGCTCCAGAGGGCTTCATACCATCGTACCAACCTTTATGCAAGTCGCCGAGGCTTAGAGTGCAGGGTTATAAAGCTTGGACTTTGGGGGTCTCCGATGTAGCATACTACATGTTCTTCTGCTCTATTCTGCTATACTATGCTACATTATGTCTTGTTCGTTATACTACGCTGGTTGTCCCAAAAAGTCTGTGAGATTCTACATGCATAGTATATTGAAGGGCATGTGCAGAGGCTTCTGCACTGTAGCCTCCCTCCCGGTACCTTGCCTTCAAGACGCGCATGTTTCTTCGCAAGCGCAAGACACCAGCTCCAAAGCCTAAAGCCCGAATTCTGAGAACGTAAGCCTTCGCCCTAACTTCTACACCGCGACATCATGCTACTGTATAGGGTCTTCAATCCTAACTACAACTACTACCTGGCTACCTCAGACACAAGCATGGCAACTTTTTTTTGGGTACTTGGACCCTTACGCTACTGCTCAGAATTTTCGGCCAGCTACGCACTATGGTCTTCAGGCCCAAACGGCTGCATAAGTATGTGCCCTTGACTACTTAAAGGATCATGGGACTTAGTAAGTAGGGTTATAACTAAGGTAACTATACTTATAACCCCAATTAAGGGACTTATAACCTCAATTACTAAGTCCCATGATCCTCCAAGTAGAGCTTATAGAGGGTTTTTGGCAGTGTAGGGAACCCTTCTAGAACCTCCACGCTAAATCCAACATCTTCAGCATTCGGGCTTCGGCAGGGAGGTAGGTACCACGAAACCCTTAATACCTAAACTGAACAGCCTCGGCTTCTGTCTGGCGCTTTTCTGCATCTCGACGTGCCTTTGCCTCAGAAGCCAAGACAAGGATCTCAAGTGCTCCTTGATCAAGAAAGTTGGTGTTTTGTTCGGGTTTGGGGCGTCAAGGTTTATCCAAGGTTTAGAGTCAAGGGCCAGGCCGAGGGGTTGATAAAGCCTCCTGCATCAACTGTCTGGTGCTTAGCAGGGAATGGGGGAATGGGTTAACCACTATAAGGGACCTTAAGGGACTATCATAGGGATCCAGTCCCCCATTCCCTACTAAGCACCAGACAGTCAAGCTATGTCGGTGAGGAATCTCCTTGGTTCAGGGGCAGTTTTGGGATCCCTTGGAAGGCATCGGCTGTGCCGGTATCCTTCCATTGGCAATACGCAGCCGCAAGGCTACCATGCTAGGATTGGGCCAGACTCCTCGGGCCCCAGGGGGCATCGTGTCCATGATTTTGGCTTCGAAGAAACTCTGAGGTTAGGAGTATGGGCCCCTAGTATGGACCCTTAGGCCTTTCTAGGGACCCTTAAGGGTACATACAGGGTATATATTAGGTGTATAAAGATCCCAGGGTTAAGGGCCCATACTAGGGGCCCATGGGTTCAACCTTCGAGAAATGTCTATGATTTCGACTTGCTGTCAATGGCTCGCTGGCTAGCTGCCATGGCAGGCATAGTGCAGCGTCACGTGGTGGCAGGCAGCATCGGCTGCGACCATTACGGGAATGAGCCCCGTAAGCAATCTTTCTGCACCTATACAGTTCTCCCAGAACCCTCCGAATTCTCTGCTTCCTTCTTGACAACCCCCGAAACAAGCCATTCTGGAGTTGTAATTCGGTCAACACCGCATAGGTTTTGCAACCGGCACAAAAGTCCGACAAGCCGTATCTTAAGACGGTATGCTCGATATATCCAACCCTTGCCCAAACCATAATAAGCTGCCCTTAGCATCCCAGTCAGCCCAAACCCTACGCCCCAAGCGCACCTCGGACGTCTTCACTCGCTGCGCGTCCTCTGCTTGACGACGAGCCTCCTGCTCATGTGATGTTTTAGTTGACAAGTCTTTAGGGTTTCGGGTTAAGTTTCATTAATGCAGGGGCCTTGACAATTAGAATGGGGTTTTGGTGCATACTATACTATAGTTATGATAAGGAGCCCCCCCAAAAGAGTATTGGTAATTATTGTGGCCCCTATATTGCGGCATCTTAGGCTTTACCCGGACCCCAAAGGACCTACCATTTTAGGGCTCCTTATCATGATCTCCAATTATAAGTCCTTAAAAAGGAAGGTTCTTTGGGTAGGGCTTGTGGTCCTTGTGGTGTCTAGGAGCTTCGGAGGTCGCCGACCCATCAACTCCGCACTTCAACACCGAGCTTTTCCGGCCCTAAATGGCCCAGAACTCTTTGAGCCCTAGTTTAGGGTTCAGGGGTTCAGAGTTTAGGGTTCAGGGGTTTAGAGTTTAGGGTTCAGGGGTTTAGAGTTTAGGGTTCAGGGGTTTAGAGTTTAGGGTTTAGGGTTTAGGAAGCCACGGAGAACCTCAGCCACTAACTTTGGGCCATAAGCCCAGCCCCAAACATTCGGTAAAAGATTTTCGGGGATCTGTCTTAGTCTGTTCGAAGGGGGCGTAGGGGAGGAGTAGTACATTGATGACTGTAGCTCGTGTGTCACCTAATGTAGGGGCCTTAATAATTAGAATAGGGTTTTGGCGTCCATTATACTATAAGTATAATAGGGAACCAAAAACAGTATAGGTAAATATTAACTATCAAGGCGCGTATACCACCTCCTCCATCCCGTTGACAAAATCTAGGGCACTTGGCTCCTCGTCCCCAGGCTCTCTTACACCACCACGACATGCTTAACCGTTCCAAAACACCCTAAGGCTCCATGTACCCATATAGTAGATACTTAGGCCTTAAAGTACCTATATAGGGACCCCTTTAAGGCCTAAGTATCTACTATGAAGGTACATGGAGCCTTTGGGACAGAAACACAACCCCTTGGGGGATCACGGCGACTCATGGAGTAAACAGAGATGGGTCGACGAGTGCCTTCTTGCGGCCCTGTGGCTTTCTGCTTTTACTTTACTGACCCTGTTTTTACACTACCTAAACCCCCAAAGTAGGTAACATAATGGCCCAAGACCTATAAAAGGCTATTATTCTACATACTTTTGGGGTCCAGGTAGTCAGGGACCGAAGATCAACTCCACTTACTGAAGTAACCAAGACGGAACCCAAAGCAGAAACGCTGCGAGCCATCGCTGAGATTTCAATTGCTCCATCAGCCGAATGTGCATCCAAGCCCTGGCCCTACCACCCTAAACCCTAAACCCAACAAAAGAAAACATGCTAGTATATTCTACCTTAAGAACCCAAAACCCAGTTTTTTGTAGGTTCTTATTTTAAGCCCTAATATGGGATTTATAGGGACCCTACAAAAAGGTAGGTTTGGGGTTCTTAAGGTAGTAATCAATTAAGTCCCTCTGGCATGCCTCGGCTTCGGCCCGCATCTGTGCCGCTTCGGCCATGGCCGCTTCGGCCTCGGAAGTGACGCATCGCTGCCAACTTAGGGCTGCCTTCTTGTAAAGAAGGGTGCCAGGGCCTACCTGGACCCCATAGTATGTAGAGCCGTTTATAGGCTTTGTGCCATTATTTTACCTACTTTGGGGGTTTAGGTCGGTGTTTAAAGGGGCGGTTAATTGACAGTGCTTCGCGGTATTTGCCATTGAATACCGGCTTGATCGAGCTCCTACGATTTTTTAGAGTGCTCCATGGGGTCTGCGGCAGAGGCCATTGATATGGCGGTTGCGGTGCTCACACTCGGACATGCCAGGTGAGGTTCTTGGTCCATTGGTGCTTCGTCGGTTGAGAGTGGGACCTATCCGAGGTTGTTCGAGTCAGGCGTTTAAGGCTAGAGCTCGGTCCACTTGCAAACCCTCGAAGTTCCAGAGGACCATATAAGCCCTGGCAGCAAAACCCCTCAAACCCCAAGCCCTAAACCCCTAAACCCTAAACCCCTAAACCCCTAAACCCTAAACCCTAAACCCCTAAACCCCTAAATCCTAAATCCTAAACCCTAAACCCTAAACCCCAAGCCCTAAACCCGAAGAGCA